CCGAAATTTCGGATCATTTCGCGGATGAACCCTAGCCCCGCTCCTCGCGCCGCCGGACAAGACATCCCACCACCGGCCGGACATGTCCACCCCGTCCAGCCACGTCGCCCGTCCAATGAGAGGCCGCCATGCCATCGCCGCCGCCTCCCGCATCCAACCCGCGCGCGCCACATGTCCTCCTCGCGCCCCACTTCGTCGGGGCCCGCAGGAGCCCAGATCCGGCCCTCCCCGGGCCCGAGCCGGGCCGCCGTTTCCCGCACAGCCGCCTCTTCGCCCGTCGCCTCGCGCCGCCTCCCGGAGCGCGTCGCCGTCATCCACCCTCGCCAGAGTGCCCCGCCTCCACCTCGCTGCGCCAGCGCCACCCCGTGGTTGCCCGGCCCCGGATCTGGCCGGAATGGGTCCGGAGCGACCGGATCCGGCCGTCCCCACATCTCCCGGCGCGTTCCCTGCCCTCGCCGGCCTCCTCCGCTCCTCCTTGCCGCTGCCCGCCGGCGAACGGCGCCGGCAGCCGACATCGCCGCCTCCTACCTCCCCGATCCAGGTGGGGATCGGGAGGAGGAAGACCTTCCGCGTGGGCCACCTCCTCCGCCCCAGGCCCAGATCGCCCGGCCTCGCTCGGCCTGCCGGCCTCTCTGCAAACGGGCTGAAGCCCATGGGTGAGCCGCCCCCAGCGCCACCTGTTTTTTTTTCCTGCTGTTGGGCTAGTCCATTTCGGCCCATGTCATGTTTTTTTTCAGCGCCTGGGTTTTTCCTATTTATCCAGAGATTGCCAGTTTTGCAGAAAAGTCCCCCTGGTTCATGCATTTAATAACTCACTAACCGTGCATCGGATTAAAATGTTTTATATATGAAACTTGCTCAGAATTTTGTGTAGATTAATAATATCCAACTTTCATCTATGTTTGAAATGTTAAAAAATGTTGTTTGCATTAATTTGCTCCTATGCCATGTTAAAATGATTTAATTCATAACTAAATAACCGTAGCTCCGATTTAAATAAACTTTATATGTAAATGGGGTAGAAAAATGTCTAGGTTAACATGGTGCACTCATCTTGCATGTTTAAGAACTCTAAAATAATGTTTAGGACAGAACAGTACCAAACCTAATATATGCATATGAGGAGTTTCCGGAATTGTTGTTCGTTGCTTCCGGCCTCATTTAACCTTGACTAGATAGGTAGTTTACATTTGCTTCACCCTCTTGCCATGTTAATCAACATTTAATATTGTTGGGGTACATAAACAAGAGAGAACTAAATAATTGATGTGGTGTTTTGTCAATATGCATCCCGATGCATATTGAGCTCCACTTAATTTGTAGGATTGCTTGTGCACTTTGCCATGCCATGCCTCTTTAAACCGGACATGCATCATACTTGATTGTGCATCATGCCATGATTATGTGTTGGTTGTTTACCATGATTGTTTGCTTCTTTCCGGTGTTGCTTCTTCGGGTTGGTTTCGTTAACGTCGAGTTTGTGAGGAACCGTTCGTCTACGTCCGTTTGTCTTCTTCATGGACTCGTTCTTCTTCCTTGCGAGATCTCAGGCAAGATGATCATACCTTCGAAATCACTACTATCTTTGCTTTGCTAGATGCTCGCTCTTTTGCTATGCCTATGCTACGATGCCTACCATTTGCTTGTCAGCCTCCCAAATTGCCATGTCAAATCTCTAACCCACCATGTCCTAGCAAACCGTTGATTGGCTATGTTACCGCTTTGCTCAGCCCCTCTTATAGCGTTACTAGTTGCAGGTGAAGATTGGAGGTCGTTCCTTGTTGGAACATTTATTTACTTGTTGGGATATCACGATATATCTTATTTAATTAATGCATCTATATACTTGGTAAAGGGTGGAAGGCTCGGCCTTATGCCTGGTGTTTTGTTCCACTCTTGCCGCCCTAGTTTCCGTCATATCGGTGTTATGTTCCCGGATTTTGCGTTCCTCATGCGGTTGGGCTATTATGGGAACCCCTTGACAGTTCGCCTTAAGTAAAGCTTTTCCAGCAATGCCCAACATTGGTTTTATCATTCGCCACCTAGCCTTTTTCCCTTGGGAGTCGCGCATCCCGAGGGTCATCTTATTTTAACCCCCCCCCCTGGGCCAGTGCTTGTCTAAGTGTTGGTCCAAACTAAAGCCCCTTGCAGCGCCACCTCGGGGAAACTCGAGGGCTGGTTTTAGTTGTACGGATTGCTTATCTGGTGTAGCCCTGAGAACGAGATATGTGCAGCTCCCATCAGGATGTCGGCACATCGGGCGGTGTTGCTGGTTTAGTGTTACCCTGTCGAAATGTCTTGTTGTACCGGGATACCGAGTCTGATCGGAATGTCTCGGGAGGAGGTCTATTCCTTCGTTGACTGTGAGAGCTTGTGATGGGCTAAGTTGGGACACCCCTGCAGGGATTTGAACTTTCGAAAGCCGTGCCCACGGTTATGGGCAGATGGGAATTTGTTAATGTCCGGTTGTAGAAAACCTGAAACTTGACCTTAATTAAAATGAATCAACCGCGTGTGTAACCGTGATGGTCTCTTTCCGGTGGGGGCCGGGAAGTGAACACGGTTGTTGGAGTTATGTTTGACGTAGGTTGTTCTAGGATCACTTCTTGATCATAGTTTATCGATCGTGCTTTGCCTTCTCTTCTCGCTCTCTTTTGCGTATGTTAGCCACCATATATGCTAGTCGCTTGCTGCAGCTCCACCTCATACCTTTACCTTACCCATAAGCTTAATAGTCTTGATCGCGAGGGTGCGAGATTGCTGAGTCCCCGTGGCTCACAGATACTTCCAAAACCAGCTTGCAGGTGCCGATGAGTCCGTGCAGATGACGCAACCAAGCTCAGGAGGAGCTCGATGAAGACCTTATTCTTTGTGTTGTTTCGTTCTAGTTGATCAGTAGTGGAGCCCAGTTGGGGTCGATCGGGGACCTTTGTCGCATTTGGGGTTCTTCTTTTATTTTAGCTCCGTAGTCGGGCCCCTGATTGTATTTGGTTGTTGTAATGCTTTATTCATGTAATTGTGTGAAGTGGCGATTGTAAGCCAACTATGTAATTTCTTCCCTTATTATATTACATGGGTTGTGTGAAGATTACCTCACTTGCGACATATGCCTTCAATGCGATTATCCCTCTAAGTCGTGCCTCGACACGTGGGAGATATAGTCGCATCGAGGGCGTTATACTTGGAGCAGACGGACGGCGGCAACGATCCACGGTGGACGAGGGCGTCGATCCGCGCGAGGCAGGGGTCTGGAGCTCGAATGCGTCCACGTAGTCGATGAAGACGATAGAGGCGGTGCTCCCGGCGCAGTCTCAGACGGCGGGGAGGGCAGTGGCCACGAGGATGAGGTCGGCCATGGCGATGTGGTTCGACTGCGGGCGAGGTGGAAGAAAGCGGCGCAGGAGAAAGGAGGGAATGGCGCTAGGGTTTCGAGGGGGGTGTGAGGATGCTCTTAACCTCAAAGGGGTCGGGGGATGGCCGACACGTGCCCGGGGTGCCATGGATGCCCGTCACGGCCTCCCTGCCTCCTGTAGTAGGAGGTTGAAGGAGAGAGAGGGTGGGCTAGGCCAGTACTGTGTATGATGGGCCAAAGTGCACAGTAGTTAGGTTCCTTCTCCATTTACTATTTTCTATTTTCTCTATGGTTTTCTATTTATTTTAGCTATCAAACAAACTTTGTCAAATGTGCCACTTAGCACATAATTACTAAGAAATATTTTTTAAAGTGGCACACCGATTTACAATTTATTTTGAAAAGGTTGGATATTTATTTAAATTGAAACGGTAAATTTAATTGTTGCTAACTGTGTTTTAAACAGGTTATGGACATTTTATTAATTCAAAATATGTTGGATAATTCATGAAAAAAGTTAGGGAATATCTGTAACCTAACCCACATTTTTATTTTGCCATTTGAAAACTATATTTATTTAACTTTAAATTAAATTTGAATTCGAACGGGATTTAAATCATCGCGAGATTGACAACAGTAATCGTGGTGACATGGCATCATTAGTAGAGTGTTCCTGTAGCTTAATTATCCGGGCGTCACACAGCTCCTCTGGTGCCATTTACCTCTTGGGGGCATCGTTTTGGAGTAAGTGCTGACTAAAGGGGCCAGGAGGTGGAGCAGTGTTGCATCTACCGCATCAACGATGGCATGGCGCAGTGGAGTCTCGACGATGGACGCACGCGCGCAGGGTGGCTGTGTTGTGTGGCGCCATGATGGTGTTGATGACAGTTGGGCCTGACAAAGTTAACAGGATAGCGCACGCTAGGTGTCACCTAACCGATTGATGCTCTTAGCTCATCATGGGGCAGCTTGGCGATGCCATTGGTTTAGATGGTGTGTGTTTGTGCAAGGTGAAGACACATCATCAAGCTTGTAGGTGTAGCAACGGAGGTCATCAGGAAGGTGGTGGCTTTGGGATAATTAATGTATTTTTTTATCAAGCTCTGTTAAATAATATATAATAAAGATGTCTGTGTGCATCCTTGTATGCATAGGCGAGGGGTTTCAACCTACTTTTCGGAAGACAAAAATGTTATTTACGGATCAACCATACTTTGACACCAAACTATAGCAATTAGAAAAGGAGGAAAGCCAACTTCAAAAATTACAAATTTCCAATACATCTCTAGCTGATTCTCAATCGATGAAACGGGCTACTTTGATGGGCCGCAACCTCTTGACCATGCTGTATGGCCGAGAAAATATTTGAATGGTAAATATGGCTGTTCCATATGAGCACCATACTGGGAAGAACCAACGACGAAAAGTGATATAGTTCTCCAGCAATCTTACGAAATAGCTGACATTCCCATGTTGAAGCAAACATCGACCATGGACATTCCTAATATGGCTCCGCACTGTAGATGCACAAGAGCAATATGCTACCCAACATGTTCAAACAAAATGATAATAATTGGAATATGGTCTAGAAAGTACCATGGTGAAGATGTTAGCATGCCCAGATGTGAGCAAATGGATTGCATTTTAGTCATTTTCCAAACACCCTCAGTGCTAGTGCATAAACATCTTTCTTCTTTGCTGATGTAGCTTCGGCCACCAATTTCACCGCCTATAATTGATAACAGCAGTTCAGAAGAAAAGAAATAAGATGATCGCATGATCATTATCTTGTAAGATACTCCCTCCATCCCATAATATAAGAACGTTTTTGACACTATGCAGGCAAAACTGCAAATCCCAAAACTTTCTTGAAAGCTTGAAATGTATCAAGGAATTGAGTGGAATATGCACCGTTGAAAGAGCATGCCCTTTTGCCATCAATTCTCTGAGTTCATGCTCAAGAAAATCATCAGATGGTGTTTCATCAATTGAAACTGAGTTCCCATCTATGAGGATGGTGATTTCTCCCTTTGGCTGTCGAGATGCAAAGGCTTCATTTGCTTCGCCTAGGGTTCCTCGCCAAAACTGCAAGATTTATATAAAGTTCAGGACCGCAAAGTAGAAAAATACCAAAATTATAAATTTACATGGAATGGCACGAACCTGTATTTGGGGAAAGTGAGATTATTTACAATTTATTCTTTTCCCAACTTAAATAAATACTCACTCTGTCCCAAAATTCTTGTCTTAGATTTGTCTAAATACAGATATATCAAGTCACATTTTAGTATTAGATACATCCGTATCTAGACAAATCTAAGACGAGAATTTTGGAACGGAGGGAGTATACACGTGATTTTTACACTACAAGATGGGTCACACTGCTCTATATAGGTACACCACACTTCACAGAACCAATATTTATGAGTGCACACGTATTAACCCGTATAGCAAATGAGGGCGTCCATGCAAAGGGATCAGACATCGGAGTTCAGATGGTAGGGGGCAGCCCTGTGCACGTAGCTCCCGCTTGCGCATGGTCCACGAAGGGTCCAACCACTTTGGGTCTATTGTACGCAGCCTTTCCCTACATTTCTGCAAAAGGCTGTTTCCAGGACTCAAACCTGTGACCTCATGGTCACAAGGCAACAACTTTACCCCTGCACCAAGGCTCCCTTTCATCGGAGTTCAGATGGTAAAAAAATAATAATTCAGTATAAGTGTACAAGTCAACACTACCAAGTACTCCCTCCGTTCCCAAATATAAGTCTTTCTAGAGATTCCAACAAGTGACTACATACGGAGCTAAATGAGTGAATCTACAATCTAAAATATGTCTACATACATACGTATGTTGTAGTCCATTTGAAATGTAAAAAAGACCTATATTTAGGAACGGAGGGAGTATAAAGAAGCAGCTGATCAGGTGGCTCCTGGCAGCACATTCAGTAATGTAGCTTTGTAAATCAAAGCACATCAAGTCAAAAATGTCTGTCTAGAGTGGATGTGATGTTGTAACCATCCACCAGAATTCATTGAAGATTGTACAACAAGAAAGACAATATAGGATATTCACAAATAATAAAGAAAAGGACAATGTAGGAAATAAGAGAATGGGTAGGTTACACAGGAGGTGATTGCAGGACTACCTCTTCATGCAATTTGGTAATCTCCCTTGCAATAACACATGACCTGTACCTCAACACAAATGAAACAAAACAGGTCAACAAATCTGAAAGAAGACTTGCACACACTAATACCACAACTATAAATATTTTGTACTTAAATAGGAACAAAGCTGCTCGTACAGTGATTACTATTTTTTGTCTAGAGGAAAAAAGGGATTATTGGCTTCAATAGCAATAATCATATTCGACATGTGTGTGACATCACAACAGAGAGATGTGGTACTACTGTGGTTTGCATGCTTCCACTTGCCATTTTGTATTAAAAATATTTGTAGATCATGCAACAACATGCAGGTGTGAAAATATCTGTTACCTTGAATCGCCAAAAGATGAAGCAGCATCAAGAAGAAACTGATGAATTCCATGAGGAGGAACATAGAATATTTGTGTCACAGCCTCACGAGCAGATACCTCAAGCCTGGCTTTTCTTGATCGACCATGCTTTGGTAAGAAACCCACTAGAAATAAAAATCAGTACTGAATCGAAAGAATGAGGGACAGGCCTAGCGCAGTGGTGAAGTACTTCCCACTTGTGCCAAGAGGTCCTGGGGTCGACGCGGCCTCTCTGCATTGCACTGTGCAGGGGTAAGGCTTGCCTCGTATAATCCTTCCCCAGACCCCACTTGGTGTGGGAGCTTCTAGCACTGGGTCTGTCCTTTTTACTGAATCGAAAGAATGATTACGATTGATAAATGAAGAGTACAGTATTGACATATTTTACCAAATGTGAATTCCTCTGTTGGCAAACCCGATGCAGAAAGAGCGGCAATTGCTGCAGAAGGCCCAGGAATGGGAATAACAGGGATTTTTTCAGTCGCGCATAGTCTAGCCTGTGACCAACGGTACAACATGCTTAATATCTCACACATAATGGAACACCATGAGACCTAAAAACATGTTCCGATGTTGTTCATTGCTAATGAATTTATCTCGTACCAAACGAGCAAGTCATCAACTAACCAATAGCATGTATACCATTCTATTTATGGTACTGTTAAGTGAAGTGACTGTCAAATCATTATTCTTTGCTTCGTCAATGAAAGATGCAGGTTGAAAAAATTAAATAGAGCAAACTGATTTACCAGCTCCATGCCAGGGTCACTGATGCCTGGAGTACCAGCATCACTAATCACTGCAATTGCTTCCCCTTCATGGAGCCTCTTTAAGATAATGGGCTCTCTCTCTCGTTCGTTGAACTTATGGAAGCTGAGCTGCAAACTTAAATTTTAAGTTCTAAGTTTGACTGTAGACAATCACAGCCATGTCGAAGGTGCAGCTACTGGTAGCTCTGACATGACAAAGCTGGGTATGAAATTAACTCACAAGAGGTGTTTTGATGTTGTAATGCTGAAGTAACTTTCCAGAATGCCTTGTGTCTTCAGAGAGTATCACATGAGCACATTTCAGAACACGCAATGCCCTGCAAAAATAATCATCAGCTTATTATAGGAGTATGCATCAGGAGATGGATGAGCTTTTGCTTTGAGAGGGGACAATAGTCAACCAGATCAATGGATATATAGACTGAACTCTGGCCGATTCACTCCTGCTAATTATACAAATTCCTTTTTAATGGGGTTCAGATGGACAGCTTCTTTTCTACGCTTTGGAAATGCCAACGCATCCGCAAGCAGAAGTTGTTGCCTGGTTGTTGTTAAACGACCGCTTGAACACTATAGATATGATGCTTAGGAAACACTGAGCTTGACTCTGGCCCAAATTGTGTGTTATGTTCTTCTAACCAGTTGAAAACAAGAGATCATCTATTCTTTGAATGTAGTTTTGCCTCTCGATGCTGGTCTATTGCTGGAGTTTCTTGGATTTCTGCTAGCACTATGGTTCAATCCTTTGAAAAGACTAAAACTGGTTTTTCTGGTCTGCTTCATGGAGATTATTGTTGCTGCTGCTTAGAACATTTGGAAGTCAAGAAAAGCTCCTATATTACAGCAGAAAAGACCTCAGGTCTCAATCTTGGAAAGCCTAATTCCTTTTGGAAAAAAAAATTAACCAAGCTGTTCAATGGGGAGAATGAGAGCTCTACCATTGAACTGGACGACTCCTTTGATGATACTAGCAGGCGTTTTGTGCGGCGAATCCAGGAGTCTGAGGTCAAAGAAGTTCTAAAAAGGATGAAAGGAGGCAAGGCGATGGGCCCCGATGGTATCCCCATTGAGGTGTGGAGAGGCCTCGGAGACATAGCGATAGTATGGCTAACTAAGCTTTTCAACCTCATTTTTCGGGCAAACAAGATGCCAGAAGAATGGAGACGGAGTATGTTAGTACCAATCTTCAAGAACAAAGGGGATGTTCAGAGTTGTACTAATTACCATGGAATTAAGCTGATGAGCCATACAATGAAGCTATGGGAGAGAGTCATTGAGCATCGATTAAGAAGAATGACAAGCGTGGCCAAAAATCAGTTTGGTTTCATGCCTGGGAGGTCAACCATGGAAGCTATTTTCTTGGTACAACAACTTATAGAGAGATACAGGGAGCAAAAGGACCTGCATATGGTGTTCATTGACTTGGAGAAGGCCTATGATAAGATACCGCGGAACGTCATGTGGTGGGCCTTGGAGAAACACAAAGTCCCAACAAAGCACATTACCCTCATCAAGGACACGTACAATAATGTCGTGACAAGTGTTCGGACAAGTGATGGCGACACTGATGACTTCCCGATTAAAATAGGACTGCACCAAGGGTCAGCTTTGAGCCATTATCTCTTTGCTTTGGTGATGGATGAGGTCACAAGGGACATACAAGGAGATATCCCATGGTGTATGCTCTCGCGGATGATGTGGTGCTAGTCGGTGATAGTCGGACGGGGGTTAACAAGAAGTTAGAGCTATGAAGACAAACCTTGGAATCGAAAGGTTTAGACTTAGTAGAACTAAAACCGATTACATGAGGTGCGGTTTCAATACTACTAGACACGAGGAGGAGGAGGTTAGCCTTGATGGGCAGGTGGTGCCTCAGAAGGACACCTTCCGATATTTGGGGTCAATGCTGCAGAAGGATGGGGATATCGATGAAGATGTGAACCATCGAGTCAAAGCCGGATGGATGAAGTGGCGCCAAGCTTCTGTCGTTCTCTATGACAAGAGAGTGCCACAAAAGCTAAAAGGCAGGTACTATAGGACGGCGATTCGGCCCGCAATGTTATATGGTGCTGAGTGTTGGTCAAGTAAAAGGCGACATGTTCAACAGTTAGGCGTGGCGGAGATGCGGATGTTGAGATGGATGTGTGGTCACACAAGGAAGGACCGGGTCTGGAATAACGATATACGAGATGGAGTTTGGGTAGCACCAATTGAAGAGAAGCTTGTCCAACATCGTCTGAGATGATTTGGGCATGTTCAGCGCAAGCCTCCAAAAGATCCAGTGCATAGCGGACAGCTAAAGGGTGCTGATAATGTCAAGAGAGGTCAGGGTAGACCGAACTTGACATGGGAGGAGTCCGTAAAGAGAGATCTGAAGGACTGGGGTATCACCAGAGAACTAGCCATGGACAGGGGTGCGTAGAAGCTTGTCACCCATGTGCTAGAACCATGAGTTGGTTGCGAGATTCCTATGGGTTTCAGCTCTAGCCTGCCTCAACTTCTTTGGCACTAAAGGCTTTGTTGTTGTTGTTGTTGTTGAGTAATTACTGTAGGGCAACAGCCCCACAGCCCTTTATTTCAGAAAATTTTACCCAGACCTGTTTAAATCCTCTCCCAGCAGGAGTCGAACCCAGAACTTGGGGTGCTATTAAGGTCTCTGCAACCACTATCATAGTAGCAGTTTAAGAGGCTTGAAAAAGCCAACTGATGTATGATATACTAAGGGCTATGGAGCACTAGGGAATTTGAATAAATAGTTGCCTCGTCGCTCCACTTTCTCTTTTGTCAAAACACATAATTAAACTTCATAGATATTACTCGCAAACAAAAAAATGTCTGAAGTTTGTTCACCTGTGTGCCAAAAAAAAAAACAGTCTACCACTTTTCACTTCGATTAGCCTAACCGTTAGTACTCACCTGGTACTGAGAGGTACCATATAACAGCTAAGTAAATAATATACCTCAAGGTGATATCCTCGAGGTTCCCTATGGGTGTCGCCACTAGATACAACCCCGACTCCAAATCCTGCATATCAAATCGGAGCAACATCAGAGGTAAGTCAATAAACATGCCATTTCCGATTGGGATACAACAAAATCAAGCTTTGAAGGGGAAATTGAAGCATATCTAGATGTGCTTTAGCAAAACTGATTATTAATACACAGTATATTCTGAAACTACAAAGTACCAATACAAAAAGGTAACATAAAAACTTTCTTTCCGTTTAAGCTGCAGTACTGCACTCAGAACCCCCAATGTGCAAAAACGTCACATTCCATAGATCATCAGTGACCAGTGACTCAAATAATTAAGCAGAAGCAGTGTCAAACGGGAGAGAGGACTACCGTTTCCGAGGCCCGCTGCTCCGGCGAGCCGTTCGAGGCGGCAGCAGGGAGGCGGCGAGGGAGCGGAGACGCAACTGCTGCGGCACAGCGGAGATGGGATGGGAGACGGCGGGGAGTGGCCAGCGTAAGGGAGAAGAGGGCCTGGAGGCGGAGCAGAGACGCCATTGGCGGCGGCCACGCGGGGATAGTTGTCGGGATAAGTCTAAGTTTTGACAGAAAGAGAAAAATGAAATAAGTGTATGGAAAGCATCACCGTCAGATCCGATCAAGACGATCTAAGTGCTTTCTTTAACAGGAAACGGGTCCCAAAGACCTAGAAGCACCTTTTAGTCGCGCTATTCGTTATTCTGGGTGAGAAATAGTTATTCTTCACCCTTTTTATTTTATCATCAATGCATCATAATTTTACGTTCCGTAAGTTTTGTCTTATTTCCGACGCGAAAAGGGACCGTAAGAAAATATATAATCGCCGTAAAAAATAATTTATGTTATGTAAAATTACAAACGTAAAAACATAGTCTAAAATAAACATAAATTGCAAATTTTCTTGTCTTATGACCTATATTTTTTATTTTCTTATGTTAAATTTTACGTAGTGAATCAATAGAAATGTTACTATTTGAATGTTACTATAATTCCAAACGTAATTTAATTATGAAATGATCGTAAGATTACTTCGAATGAAGAATAACTTATTCTGCACCCTGGCTGATGAATAGTAACACTATATATATATATATATATATATATATATATATATATATATATAAAATATAAAAAGACCCAAATGGGCAGATTCAAACCACCTCAACCGTCAAATCATGTTATCTAGCGGTTCAAATCGCTCCAATGTTGAGCACCAAACACGTTTAACGCTCTAATTATCCATCATTGCCATTGGTTATAAACATATTTTGACTCAACGCTATCCCTTGAAATCTGTCATATGATTAATATCCTACCATTCCAGCGAAAAAATAATTGATATCTTACCAAATACCAACGTGCAATAGATATATCTTACCTAATATAACATGCAATTAATATCTTACCTAATATAAACGTACATTGCATGTATATTATTACTAGTCTACACCAATATAAAAAGACCCAAAGGGGCAGATCCAGTTAATCGCAGCCATTAAATCATGCCAATCCAACGATCTAAACTACTTCAATGTCGAGCGCTCAACACGTTAGCGTGCAATTAATTTCATGCCAAATATAGTGTTAATCACATAATAACATGCAAATAATATCCTACTTAACATCCGCATGCACTTAATATACTTTCAAATTAACGTGCATTGCACGTACACATTGACTAGTTAAAATCAAAGCGCCTGAAACTCAGCTGAATGAGATATAGTTAGGGCATGAACAAAGAAAGCATCACCTACTGATGCCCCAGCCCATCCAGCTAGGAAGAAAAGAAAACGAGGCATCAACTTGGTACTTATCACACAACGCGCTAAACTGAGCGAGCCATTACCATGCCCCCACACTTGTGTCATCTTCTATCTCCCATGTGAGCACCAAGTTCCATCTCTCACCTCCTTTTTCCCTCTTTCTCTTCTCTTTTCTTCCTTCTCCCATGAAGCGCCCGCCTCCTGTGGAAGCCACTCTGACACACTGCAAGGCTACCATACCAGCTCCACCTGCCATCCGAGCCTAGTTGGACAATGGGGCATCAGGTTTGAAGCATATCATTGGCCATGCCCTTATGTCTCATTCAGCTGATGTCAGGCTGACGTCATCTCGTATGTTGGCTGCCCGCTTTGCCCATATTGTTTTATTGTGGGTTGGGATTATGCGTTATTGGGCTCGATAAGATGGGCTGGTATGGGGTGCATTGTGTGACCCTCCAAGACGTGCTTTTGTTTTCTCCTTTTGTTTGTTCTTTATTTGTAATTTTATGAACAAATAGGCCACAACTATTTTACGTATAAGCCTTTGTAGGTACGTACTTTATTGCTAGGCTGAATGTGTTATGTGGAACAAGAGCATGTAGTAGGAGAACACACGCATATTCCCCAGAAAAAAAAGAACACACGTATATTCTTAACAAAAAAGGAGAGATATGCATGGGATGATAAAGGGACATGCACTGTATTCCAACTTTGGGTGAGGTTGTTTTTGTTTTCTTTTTTCATTTCGCCAGTAGGGAGCCTTTGGCGCACAGACCATGCCCGGTTTTGTGCCTCGGCTTGTTTACTATTTCTGAAAAATATATTAAACAAATTGCTTAAGAAATGTTAGGTGGCTAAAATTAAGGAAAAGTATTATTGATGAGGACATCCATACCATTGTTACACCCACAGCCCTTACTGCTACATATACTGGACCAATTACTGGAGCTCGCGGACGCCAATTAAATTATCAGGTACTTTCATTTCTTGGTAATGATTCTAATGTTCATGAGAATATGATGCTGTCTAAATTGGATACATTTGTTTTGCTTACAAATGAAGGGCCTGACATGGATAAGAGGGATGAACACCGGAGCAAGACCAAGCATGGAGATGATGGCATGCGCGAGGGGACTTTGAAGCCACCATAAGGAGTGCATGAAGCCTTGGACAAAATACACAAGATGTCAATTCATAAATTTCGTCCAGATGCTATTCTAGATGATGCGTCACCTTATTATTGGGCCAGGCCCATGTAATTTCAAAATACTTAAGTATAGGCCGTTTTTAGAGTCTGTATGTGTGGGGAAACAAGAGTTAGGGTTGGTTTCGGACCCCTCCTCCAAGGGCCATGAAATTCCCCCTCTCTTCCTCCATATATACAGCCCTTAGGGCATCATTTAGACTTTGGGTTTTGTTTAGATTAAAAGTTCGGCATAGCTGCAACTTCACATACTTCGTTTGTGTTCAACGATCAGACCAAGGCATCACAGAACCCCACCTTGATCAATAAAGCTTTCATCTTATATTCGCAATATCCAGATTGCAATCTCAGTTTCTCGCTTGTTCTTCGTTTGCTCGCAGGAAACAGACCCTCATGGTCAGGTTGATCGTGCTCCGGCGTGGTCAATAACCCCTCGGAAGTTGGTTTAGCGATTTCTAAGGCGCGACGTCTTGCACGTTCGTAGCCGGATCGTCAAGGTCGACTCCCACAGAAAACGATAGTCACCATCTCATCGAAACATCCGGACACCTTCGCCTCTATCAAGTGGTATCAGATTTTCAAGTTGCTCGGTGAGATTTTACAGTTTTTCATAGCTTAGATCGAGTCTGTTCTTCATACCTACAGTCCACGCAAAAGCCAAAAAAATAGGGTTAGTCCATCCTATCCGAACCCATCTGAGCCTTTGCATAATCTTTTATGTATTTGCTTTGTTGAATTTGCGGTTGCATCATCGTGTCAAGTTGCTGGTCTTAGCCTCTAGTCCTTTAGAGTTTTGAGTTATGTTCACAGGTTGTTTCGTCGCAGCTGCCATATATCACCACTGCATCATCATCATCGCTGTTATCGTATACCACCACCGCACCAACTTCATCGCCGCTGCCATATACCACCACGACATATTCACCGCCAATCCGAGTCCATATACGCCACCACATATCCGCCGCCATCATGCCAATCCGAGTCCACCTGCAACATATATCCGCCACCAGTCTGAGTTCCACTAGATTCATCGCCGCCACCAGTCCGAGTTCCACCAGATTCATCTCCGCCACCAGTCCGAGTCCAGTATTTGTTGCTTTGTTTTCGAGTTCCAAATCACGCGATACTTTGGGTTGTGACAAAGTAGGACTCCCGAGATTCCGTGCTACCCACAGTAGAAAAATAGTTCCAAACTAAAAAAACTAAGTCTGGAAAATTCTGGCTAGGTAGTTTTTAGACCATTTGTAGACTTTTTCGGAAAAAAAATTGTTGCAGAGCAAAAAAAATGAAAAAGTGCAAAAAAGAAAAAAAAGACAGAAAAATCAGAGTGTGCTTCTCCCTTGTTTACGTGCAACACCGTGATTTTGTTAGTGTTCTAGGCTCGCGTCTCTAGCACGGTCTAGCCTAGGACCATCACAGTATCGTCGTTGAGCATTTATTCAACTTTGCATCTCTGAATTGATTATTATTGACCTTTTTTGCTACCATATTATAAGCCTTCCCAGCTCCACATACATCTATGTCGTGCATTTGACTCTCCCTGGTAATCGCTCTATCCAAGCTTTGAGAGTTTTGACTACGACGGTTGCCGATCACCGCCTGCTGCTGGGTAAGAATTTGAGATTTTCTTGATGGATTTGTGACACCCACCACCACCTCTTGTTAGTAGTCTGTAGGATCATATTCTTGTGTGTTTCTATTGCTGCTAACCATGGCAGGATCACAAGCCGACAAGACTGACTGGGAGAACATGACGAATAAGGAGTTGCATGATAAATTTCAGCAAATGATGAGTGGACAGGTGCAAGATATGCTAAACAGATTTGAAGAGGCCATGGAGAAGATAGATGGCATGAAGAAGACGTTCGAAACAAAGCTCGATAACAAGTTTAATGAATTGCTCGCGCGTCTTCCACCACCACCACCACCGGCTGCACCTAACGCACCTCTATAACAACAACAATGACTACCTCCACGTCACGAAACAGCCCTCCGCCGAGTGAGCCGTCTCCCTCTTGCGCCTGACCAAACTGTTGGTGCTGCTATTGATACTTCTGTGACTCTTGCTGCTGATGCGGAGGAGGATGATTTTGTGGGAGATTAAGAGGATGGGGTTGATCAAAATCAGAATTACGTGCAACCACTAGCACCACAACCACCAGGTCGTCCACATGCAAATAGTGGCAATGGTAGGGCTCCCCCTCGGGTACGAGATCATGACCATCTCCCTAAACTGAAATTTAATATTCCACCATTTGAGGGTAGATATGTTCCTGATATATATATCTTACTTGGGAGTTAGAAACTGAACAACGAATTACATGTTTACAATATCCTGAGGAGAGACGTGTTCCTGCTGTTGTTTGTGCTTTCACTAGCTTTGCATGTGTTTGGTGGTTTGAACATTGTAGATTATATCATATTCAAGCTACTTGGGCTTCTTTGAAAACTGCTATGCGTACTCGTTGGGTTTCACCATATTATCAACGTGAATGACTTCAAAAATTGTAGCATTTAAGACAAGGAAATTTTTTTGTAGAGGAATCTTATCA